ACACACACACACACACACACACACACTACTCTACATATTCTCTACACACATATGCTGTACACAAGAGTTTGATTATTATTAATGACGTGTAATTTAATTAAATAATAGAATATACAAGCTTTCTTATAGAATATTATACATTATACACACCTCCTCCTCTGTAATTTGGGGCCTTAAGACAATGTCACCTAGAACTTGAGTTACTATATCCAACCCGCGACGTTCCGCCGATGCTGCATAGACAAATGTGTCGCGAGATGCTTGACAATCGCATATACCGCCATGTTTTTCTAGAGCTAGCATTATCTTATCCTTGCTGTCAAATGTGTTTGTAGACTGTAACAAGTAGAACAGCGTAATTTTGTACAAATTTATAGGACATATGTAAGAATATTAAGAAAGACCATTAATTGCAAGATGGAATATCTATCAATATATTTAAAATGATTGAAAAAGATTGTACCATAATATATGTATATTATACCATAATATATGTAATATTATAAGTACGAATTAGAGATCAACAATGTTTAACATATACTTGCTTATTATGTGCTAAGATTAATAGTAATACTTGATGAAAGAATCTTACACTAAATGCTAACTTTTCAAGAAAGTGCGAAATGCCGTTGGGATATGCCACTTCATATCGCGGCCCCGAGTCAATAAGGACTGCAAATCAAGATAATAATATAATATTATGTATACAAATTTAGTACAAGTTGATACAATATCGAAATTATGCTCAACTTACCACCTATGGTGCAAAATTGTCCAAACCTATTTTCGGACGCGACTTTTAAGCCATTTGTTAGAACTGTGATCTGCGTTGTTTGATGCTCCTCTTTTGCAGTCGAGTAAACGGCTCTCGGCAAATTCGGGATAGGTTCTGTCAACGGTGGAAATGATGTAACAGTTTTCTTCTGATTCTCCTTCAAATCAGGAGGTATTCTTTGAGAGGAGAAGTTACATCTTTGCCAGACATTGAGATATTGCGAGCAGGTTGAGCTGAAAACAAACAAAGAATATATATATATATATATGTGATAACAATAACAATATTTCCATGCAATAGGCATATAAATGTGTTTACATTCCTATCTGTATATTTTCCTCTTTTATGTCCATTCCTGCCAATGTAGATTAACTTTCAATCAATCAATAGTCCTATTACTCTTGACAGAGCGTAGTGACCTCTTCTCTCGTATTTCTGCGATATGCGCTATTTACACTTTTACGCAGATTAACTTTAATCTTTGTTTAATGTATTTTCTATCTTTTATTAATTCTAACAATTAAGTCCATTTCTTTCAATGTAAATTAATTTTAATCTTTAACTCCAATTCCAACTCCAATGTGTAATGGCTTCACTCTGAACTGAGTAACTTTAATCACAATATAATTTACTTCAATCTTTAAATTTTAATCACAAATAAATTAAATTTACTGTTTATTTTTTTGTTATTCTTAGACATTCTAGAAATAGATAAAAAGTAAGTTAAAAACCGAGACTAAAATTAATTTACATTGGTGGAACAGACATCAGAAAATGATGGTAAGTTAAAGTTGATCTATATTGTTAGAAATATATTTGGACATTAGAAAAATACACTATTCTATAGCTTCGTTTCACGAATGATTCAATGTCACATTGTCACAGTTACCTTTTTTTAATCGTAACGATTAATGGCCTTTGCAACATCCTCGAAAACATTTTGTCAACCCGGAGAGAATTGTAGCATACAGTTGTAATTCTGACTGGCGCTGAAAGCTATAGAGATATGCTCGAAGATGTATCTACGATGAAGATGTGTCTACAGAAAAAAAATGACAGCAAATCTCACTTGAATTTCGTGCTTTTTTTGTACAAAGGATTAGCGAGTGAGAATTCGTGCACGCGTTCAGTAACAATACATCATCTTTATTAATATATATAGATAATTTCAGTTTTGCGAAATATTAGGTTAGAGATTGCGCAGTTTATAGATGCGTGCCGATTTGTTTTTTTCAGCTTCTCAGAGCTAGAGTCCTAGATTATCAGAGAAGCGCGACCGGCTTATGGCAGTATCGCAAAAGTACTAGAAAATATTAAAAATGGCGTCGAATGACCAATCATAAGATTGATTTATTCG